AAAATATGTATATCTAGAAATTATTTTTATTTGAAAATAAAAACGAATTATGCTAAAATAAAAGGAGTAAAGTTTAATTTTGGTTCCTAATATTTGTAATTTATTACGAATATCGTTCCTAAATTTTAAAAACTTGGATTTAGTCCATCACGTTTGTCAGTTCCCAACGGTTTTGGTTTTTCTGTCCAACGGTTGTTAATTCTCTTCGTTAAGTTCAATTAAACAAGGAGTGTTTTAGTCATTTTCACTGTTTCAATATATTAAAATAAAAAAACAGATTATATTTTTTATTTTAAATTCTAAAAGAAAAAAGAATGAAAAAGGATAAGCATTAAAAAAATAGTAAAAATGACTAAAATATTTCTCATTTAACTGGATCTAACGGAAAAGGTTAACGAGTGTTAGACAGAGAGACCAAAACTACTGGATATGACTAACATGAGAGATCAAATCCGAGTTTTTAAAGCTTAAGGACGATATTCATAGAAGATTACTGTTGATCATCTCTCTAAGTGATTTGATGATAACTCATTTTACCTTATACGAAGTATGTGTGTTTCTGTTTTTCAGTTCCAACGATCATCACTAAGTTTGTTCAGTGATCGCTGAGAACATGTAATGTAAATCCATCAACGACAACGATATATTCAGGAAGAGAAAATTCACACCAAAGAACCTTCAGCGAAAGTCGAAGACTGAAGTTGAAGATTAGAGACTGGCAGTTCATGATCTGAAGCGGTATTCAGTGATTACAACCTGGTCTACATATGTGTGAAGACTGCTCAAGCCTCAGCGAATGCTGAAGAGACCTTCAGGTTATTCCAGCATTCAACGATCAAAAGAAGCTTGTTGAGCACGATTGTTTTTGTCTTGTCCTTCCACACACATAGGACAAACCCATACCCTTTATAGAGTGTAGTACGGTACGGAACCGATTAATTGACTCTACTACCCACCAACTCCATGAAAGAATATCTGCTCATGAATAGACTTTTGTACTATTCACTATAGCAAAGGACAAGTCTTTCTCTAAATGCTTGACACGTGTTCAAACCCTACTGCATTGCATTATATGTGTATTTAATGCAATAGGTATAAATAGATGTGTTCTATCTCCATGCAGAGATATTTCTTACTCTTGAACCCTAACTCTTACGTTCATACGTGAAAGAACACACGTCTAAAGAACACAATACGTAATTTGTTTTGATTTAAAATGCATATATATATATATATATATATTATGTTTTTAGTCCAAATATGTTATAATTTTGTAAATAGAAAATGTATTTATAACTTTCTAAAAAAATCATTATTGAATAGTTTATTAGACTTTTAGGGGTTTTACCTAAATGCTTACCCAATAAGCGCTTACCGTTGGGAGTCAACAATATAATTTATTTTCTAGGTGAAATTGTAGTATATCAAAATGATATTGTATGCAACAATATATTTGGTAAGCGCTTACCCAGGTAAGAGGTGTCACCCTCACTTACCGGGTAAGACTCTCTATCCTTATCATTGCTCATACCAGGTAAGATTCTTGGGCCTTGTCATGTTCGTCCGGTGAGGAAAATAGCCCGGTAAGCACCTACTGAGTAAGCGTTTAGTAAACAGCCCCTTATTATCTTTTTGTTGTAAACATAAAAACGTAACTTGTGGATGAAGAATTTCTAGAATAAAATTCAGAACAACGTACGTTCCATTTTTTTATAACTTATCAATGGAATAATGAACGATGTTAAACAAGAATATATAGTACAATTGTCGTTGAATTACGCATTTATATTATAATGTTAAATATCTTAGATGGGATTTTCGTTCAATCGACATATTTAATATATATTTTTCTTAAGATCGATGTTGAGATGAAAGCCATGTATGACAGTTTAAAAACTCGTTCACAAAATCATGGTAGGAGTTGTAAATGCAGTTTCAGTAATATATCAATGGGACACCTTGTTCGTTTCAAGGAATGGAAATAAATACTGGGAATGGGTATTAACGTTTAGCGAGAAAAACCCCATTAATGACAATTAGCAACGTTGGGATGAAGAACTAATTTTGAATAACAGATTATGAATAACGTATCCAGGAGAAACCTGTAAAATCGAAGAACAAAAATGGATAAACAATAATTATGTATGGCATATTTGGGACGATTAGAATAGCAAGGTGAATAACATATTATTATTATTTTTATTAACCTGTATATCCAACCCGTTATGCGAGCCGACTAATTCCAGGGTGATCACCTGCTTTGTGGATAGCTCGGAGTCATCGCATTTGAACCTCTATGGCCTCAAGGGGATTTCCATTCCTTCTTGGATATGAACCTGAGATCTTCATACACTTTTGACTTTTTGAGTCAAGCTCAAACCAATCAGACACCACTCTTGTGGTTCAAATTCTTTATTTTCATTTCAATTGAAGAACATATTAAGGATTGAGATGGAAACTCAGTCAAAATTTTCTCATTCTCTCAATTTGGGGTGAAACCGTTTTTTAACGAGTCTGATATAATGATTAATTACATAATATCAAATCCAACACTTTCGATCATTTCATTTTCGTTCACTTCTTAAAACAAACACCTCGATCATTTCTATTTTTCATTCATTACCTCTTATTATGACCAATCAAATACCCGCTAAGTAATTTTAAATGTGACAAATTGGATGAAAAAATATTGTACTTTAACTTAATTCCTATTTTAGATAACATACTTTCAGAACTTCCATTTTGGTACATATGATGTAAAACTTTAAACATTTAAGTACCCGGGTAGCCGGTTGAAAACTAATTTTAGATTAAAAAAATCCATGTCAGTAACTACATTAACAAATAATACTGAGTTGGATACCACATCACTCGCCATATCAGCATGATAACTGGTTAATGTTTCAATCGGTTACCCGAGTACTTAAATGTTTAAAACTTTACATCTTAGGTACAAAAATGAAAAATTTAAAAATATATTACCTAAAATATGAATAAAGTTAAAGTACGTTATTTTTTCATGCAATTTGTCCATTTAAAATAGAAAGATTAAAATTGTAATAAATAGCTACTCATTTTTAGTTTATTTCTAGTTAAAATTTTGAGAAATTATGCTAAATGTTGACCCAAATAGAAACATTATGCTTTACAGTGACATCCATAGAAATTTATGTAACATTTCGTTCCATATGGATGAAATGTAAGAATTGTTAGTTTTTTACAAGTCTTAAGTAGTGGGCTATCAATAACTTCCACCATGATTTTAAGTTAGATTTAAAGTTATTGGGCTAGTTCGTTGCTTTAGGCTTTGGGGGTGTTATAAATGGTATCAGAGTTGATCATTGTACCATTGGGATGGTGGGACAAACCTCATCGGGTATGATGAGTCCTCAAAAGGGAATGTTTGTAACATCCCAGACGAATCTCACATTGCCGATGACAACAAAGAGATTTCTGGTAAGTCTGACGACGACGTCAAGAGTTTAAGTGAGTGAGTTTGTAAAAAACTCGTCCCACATGGATAGAATGCGAGAATTGTTAGCTCCTTATAAGTCTCACCCAGTGGGCTAGCAATAACTTCCATCATGGTTTTAAGTTAGATTCGAAATTATTGATATTTTAGATGTTCAAGTTTCAATGTTTTTAATAAATTATGTAACGGAGAACAGAAAACACGTTTAATTATTAATAAAAATATTCGACATATATTGATATTATATGTTTTATATATGTAAAGTGTATAAATTCATTATGATAGCTATTTATATTCTTATATAATTTTTAAAGAAATTGCATGAAAAAATAACGTATTTTAACTTGATTTTTATTTTTGGTAACGTACTTTCAAAACTTTCATTTTTGTATCTAAGATGTAAAGTTTTAAACATTTAAGTACCCGATTAATCGGTTGAAGTATTAACCTGTTATCATGCTGATGTGACAATTGATGCGGTATCTAACTCAGTATTATTTGCTGACATGGTTAGTGACATGAATTTTTTTTTATCTAAAGTTAGTCTTCAACCGGTTACCCGAGTATTTAAACTTTACATCTTAGATACCAAAATGAAAGTTTTAAAAATACGTTATCCAAAATATGAATTAAATTAAAGTACATTACTTTTTCATGTAATTTGTCCATTTTAAAACATCCCTTTTAACAGATTATGGTATTTTGGCATTTTCATACAAAATGACGATTATTTATCTATATTATCTTATTAACCAAATTTAGCAAAAGTCTTAAAGTCTTAAAATACTAAATGACCAAAATATTTTTTATACTACCCTTACTTTTTCACTTTTTCACTTTTTCACCCCCTACTCTCCTCCCATGCACTCACCCCCTCACATACACTCACCCTCTCACATTGAACCGATTTTTTTTAAATTATAATTTTAAATTTACACTTTATATCCCTATAATTAGTTAATTAATTTACTTTATGTCCTTTACTTTTAAATGTTTCATTTTAAACCTTTATCAAATTAACATACATAACCGTATATCAATTAAAACAAGTTTAAAAAATACATTTTTATTTTAACAAGTTACACCATTATAATCGTCTCGTTAATACCTTCGAAATGAGTCCAATATTGAATAGTTTTTGACTTAATTATATTATTATATATTATATATACTGTGAAATATTTTTTAATATTTACGATTTATACTTTTATAATTATTTATTTATATATATACTATATATTTTGGGGGTTAGGCTGTCCAAATTGTACTGTATTATATGTTCTGAATTAATATGTTATTGGGTTTTTTTTGAAATATATATATATATATATATATATATATATATATTAATTCAACCTTAATCTGAGTTTCTGGACAAAAAAAATGGGTAAGCAGTTGAAATTTCATTCTAAAACCCATCTTTTTTTGTCTTTTCATGGCTTATGATATGTCAAATTTGTAGTTTTTTTTATTGGTTTTGAGTGTTTATCTTAAAACTCAAGTTTATTGGTTCTTTGCTCTTGATCCTTAAACAAGAATCACGATGGAGATAAACAATCCCTCGACCAATGCCCAAAATAATGTTGAAACGCGTTGCCCAATCAAGTTGCATTCGTTTCTTTGGATCTGGGTATCAAGAAGCTAGAAGTGTGAGAATGGTCAATAATTAGAATTCAGAAACTAAATGATCTATAGCCAAGAAGTAATCACATATGATCTTTGATGCTAGATTGTTTTGTTTTGTTATCAAATGACCTCTAAACTGTTGAATAATCCTTCTATGATAACAGAAATATCCATAAGGGTTCTGAATTGTAAACATTCTTTGCTTGAGAATATATTCCAGCCAATAGTATAAGTTATGTTCCTACTATTGCTTATCATCAATATGCTTTCACAAAATAATTGGGAGTTTCCTACATCCGAATATGTTAGACAAATTACAAGAGAAAGAAGTCAAGTCAAACTTACTAAAGAGAAAAGTGTCCAAGCTTTTGTTGGTCATGTACTCATAAATCAGTAATCTCTCTTCCCCTTCAATGCAGCAACCTAAAAGTTTAACGAGATTCCTGTGTTGGAGCTTGGAAATCAATATGATTTCGTTCTTAAACTCTTCAATTCCTTGCCCAGAGTCCCCTGACAGCCTTTTCACTGCTATTTGCTGTCCATGATCTAGCGTTCCCTATTTTAAGTTAATGTGTTATGTAGTTAGTGGTGGCTCTGTTTTGATTGCTTGGAATACTCAAGAAACGAGTTTGCGAATACAAGTGCATTAGTACCTTATAAACTGCTCCAAACCCTCCTTCACCAAGTTTGTTTCTGTAGCTGAAGTTGTCGGTGGAAGTTATTATTTGTTTGAACTCATATATAGGCAATTCAATGGACTCCTGTATAAGAACCTTTTCATGTAGTTGTAGTGTGTCCCTCGAATCAATTTCATCCTCTGGATTGAAGAGTTTTAATTTGGTTTTCCTTCCTACAGAGAGAATTTTTAACACATAAGGATCATTTATCCATGTTAAGATAGGGGTAGGTTTATTTGAGAACTGTAAATATTTTGAGAACCCGAAAACCATCTATTCATGATGAATATCGTAATATATATTCATGATGAACCTCATGAATAATGAAAATGCACGATATTCAAGAATATTATAGGGTTATTTTTTTCTAAATAATCATGAGATAATTGTTTTTCAGGTTCTCAAAGTATTCACGGTTCCTAAATGAACTTTCCCATGTTAAGATAATTGACATATCTAAACATGGATCATTAAAGAAGGAACGGTTTTATTGACAAAGAAAATATTTTTGGGCCTAGTGTAGACTAAGAACATCAACCATTTCAACAAGCTTCTTTCTTTCCTCACTTAACGTGTCTTTGAATGATTATATGATATACTTCTCTTACCTTTCTTATATGTTGTCCACCTGTACAAACAAAACATGAAGCCACCTAAGAGTAGTGCACCACCTATAGTTGTGAGACTGATGAGAACTTCTGCTCCTTTTGTTTCTAAAATAAAATTGTGTTAGGCCAAACCAAACAAACCCAATTTAGACTTCAACAGGAATTTGAGTTTACCTGATCCCACATAGGCAAGCCGCAAGAAAAGATTCTCCCCACCAGAAGAGAACTGCTTGGTATCCATGAAGTCTTCTGTCCAAATCATACAGTCAATGCCTTCCACATAGGCATATGCCTTACAAGAGCAGTTACCCAAGCACAAGCGCTGGCATCCATTGGTATCAGTGTATGGAAAATACTGATGATGATCTGGGAGCTTGATCCCTCTTAGCATCCAGAACTTATCTGGTTTAGTCTTTCCAGAAGCTAAACTACTTCCGTTCTTCTCACACAAAAGTTCACTTCGCCTCACACAACCTGTTGTCCAATTACTTTTGCTCCATTCATCCTTCGACTGTGGTACAAACCCTTTCAAGCATTCGCAAATGGGAGACTTGTTCGTACAAATTGCAGAAGCACCACAAACTCCATAAACATCACAAGGATTATCTGGTGCTCCCCAAGTAATATCCCACATGTTATGATAATCATCCCAATAATTCAACTGTAACACACCATCAGGTTCTAAATAAAGCCATCGGATGTGAGATGAGTTATACCTGTTGATGGTGAGATAGGCTCCTCCTTGTGGGTTCTCTGGCATGAGACTTATGACATTTGAGTACCCAGACTCCTGCTCTGGTATACCTATGAACTTCCCTCCATCCCAGGGCCCACTTCTCCAGTACTGCTTCGAACGATGCCAGATGAAAGCTTGTGGCGGCTGCTCTGCTGAAAGTCCAAGTACAAACTCTCCAGGTGTTGGATCATCATCACTTTTCCATGATGTCAATAAATTTTTGCCTTGTGTTTTCCCTTTTGTCCCAAGCTTCATGCCTGGTAATAGACTGTTACTCGGATAATCAAAACTCTCCCACAATATTGATCCTGAGATGGTATCATTAAGAGCTAAATCTCCCGTGTCTGTAAGCTTTGCAACTGTTTCGTTGAACTGGACCCTTACATTTGTTGACCAGATGATATTATGCTCACCATCTTGGATTATCAGGTTCCCATCGTTGCCAATAGTTAGGCTAGAGGTGGTGTCAGAAACCGAGAGTGGATTTTCTCTGTTTGCGACCCATATAACTTTCCTTGCAGGAATATTTTTGTACCATATACCAATATATCGTTTAGTGGAATTACCTGGATTGAAGAAGCCCAGCTCAAAAACTTGATTGGCAGAGACAAGAGTCTGTTCTAAGTAGATCCGACTGTCTTTAGTCAATGTGTCAGTTGCCCTGCAGTGTTGTAATGAAATAACCAGGATATACAAGCATGCCATGCGTAAACAGTTTGCAGCTGTGGCTCTTCCAGTAGCCATGCCCGTTGGTTTCTTTAGATCCTTCTGCTGATTGTCATTAGAATTTGGAAAATTCACATTCTATGGTTCCCTTAGCTTCTTTCAATCTTGCATGATACTCAAATTTCGATCTATGACCAAGTCTTCCCTCTATAGTATAATTTGGAAAATGAACTCTATTCCCTTGATATACACTTGGACTTTTCTGATCAATTTCTGAGTACCTACAAGTAGTGATATCATCTATTCTTTTAAAGAACTCGAGACTAGCACCATGATAGCTCTAGTTTCTCTACTTTAATGTCTAGCACAATATATAAAAATGATTCTGGCTGTGCTAAGAGTTGGTAATGCAGTTAATTATAGATAAATCAAAATCACAAAAGTCAACATGATGGAAGTGAAAATCTGAGGCTTTGTTAAGGAATTGAAGATTGATTACAACATTAGGTTTATCAGTTAGTTTTAGTTGACCAAGAAGTGCCTCAACTTCCTTGAAATTGTAATCATGAGCCAATTAATCAAGGGTTTAACCACGTATTCGTTTCTTACAAGACTTAAAAGAATAGAATCAGATGGCTTGAGTTTATGTCTAAACTTCTGCATTTTGCGTCCCAAAGCCATACTTCATTAAAAACATTTTGTTGACCTTGTCCCTGCTAACAATATTTAATTTTTAACTAAAAATCTGCCATATTTTAAGATATGATATGGTGCAAGACACTAAATGCAGTATTAATGTGATTTTCAATGCGCAGGTTGCCAGATCTTCTGTTGTCTCCTGTTAGATTCAATAGCACATGGGAATCGATCAATAGCATCTTGAACAAGAATTGAAGCCAAATGTTGGCCACGATGACCAGTGTCATAGTACTGAAGGCCGGTACTTACCGATAAGGTAATGGTCTTATATTCAAAGCTTAAAACTATCATTTTCTTAATCTAGAACTACATCTTGTAAAACATATGTACATGAAATTGTGAATTCATAGTGTCATAGCATAACTTTGTTTGCCGCGTATTTACATCATATAATAACAAAATGATTTATCTACCAACAACTATGCATAAGTGAAAGGCAATTACAAGAACTTGAATGGATTTTTTTTACCTTTGATTGTGAATCCTTGGCCCAATTGCTTTCGTGTTTTTCCTACCTTCTCTCCTCCTTGCTTTCTCGTTTACTTCTCTCCAATGCTTTCCTTATGTTTGCAAAAGTGGCAAGAAAATGGAGTGAAACTCCTTGCTATTTTGTTATCTCCCACTTCACAGCCATAACCCACCATAACCTTTGCCTCCAAATTTCCCAACTCCCCGATTTCAAACGTGGTTTCTCCAACATCCAATTTATTCCCCCAGTTTGAGCGAATTACAACCAGTCCCTGCTGTCCTCTATTTTCAACATATGCATAACCATTCCCATATTGTTTATTCCATTCAGATTTAGGGTGTTACATCACCATCCTTGTTAATTCTGATACACTTGAGTGCATGCTTGTTTCATTCTCAACAAGCGCTTTGAATTTTATTGCTTGTTATATTCTTTAAAGTCTGGCAACACTAACACCATTTCCTTTTTTTCAACATCTTCAAGCTTCTGTGAATCATGTGTCAATAGCGTTGATGTTAGAGTTGTGTAACATCTTCCACATCTGGCCTAAGACAATTGGGCTAAGAAGGAAACATATTTGCAATAACTGTGTATATGCGATTTGGAGTCATAGGAATCTACTTGATTAAAATCCTTTCTTTGGCATGTGAACTGCTACTCCTGTTTCTTGGATTTGCCCAATAAGGATCAAGTTGTTCTTCAGGTCTAGAACAAAATATGCTTTTTTTAGAACATGATCAACTCCTCCAATTGCAAACCTTAATTAGCATCGAGTAGTTGTTTCCAAGCTTGACACTAAGCCAGTAGTCTTCATTCAGCTCACTGAACCACTTCTTGTCTCTACTCATGTGACTCGAGTAGCCTGAGTCCAAGAAGCAGACTTCTTGGTTGCATGATTTTGTTCCACATGGGCCATTATGACCATCTATTATGTTTCATTAATTTGTGTATAAATTTGGGATTTGCGGTCCCTACTAAGATCGGTCCAGGATCATGGGATCCTTTTCTATAAGATAGGAAAGGACATAGCACAAATTGACAACATTTTCCCATTTTGGACATCCACTTTGAAAGTGCCTTAGCATGTGGTACTTGTAGTATTTTGTTGTGCTTCTGCTGACGATGTATCCTTCTCATCATCTTCCTTTATTTACAGACTTTGTAACAACCTTTAGCACCTGGTCCTCTTCTTTTGGACCAACCATTCTTTGTTCGTGAACCAATAGATTTCCATGAAGCTCATCTATGGTCATAATATCAAGGTTGTTAGATTCCTCGATCAAGCATGCCATACTTGAACTTTAAAGGTTCAAGTATTTAATCACAGAACCTTGGGTACTACATTGCTTGGTTCCACAACACCGTCTATCTTCTTGTCGACAATTGTTAGGGTTCTGAGAAGGTAAAAGCTTACCTTCTTACCCTCCTTCATGGTTAGGAGCTCGTATTCCCTCTTCAGAGCCAGTAATTGAGCTTTCTTTACCTTTCTAGAATCTTCATATTTTTGTTTCATAGAATCCCATATTTCTTTCTATGTGCCCTTTTCCAAAACTGTTTCAGGGATCTTCCTGTCAATTGCCTAGATTATGTAATGTTTACCTTTCATGTCTTTTAGTATGACATTTTCGACACCCTTCTGAGTGTGCTAATGCCATTTTGTTGCATCACACACTAGTATTTGAGCATACTTCAAGTTGCAAATGCAATTGATTGCCTTGTTTAATTAAATGCAGTGAGACTATTATATAGACCTCAAATCTGATGAAATAGGATGAGTTGACATGGTATTTTGTAAATACGTAATTATCTACAAGAACGTTAAAACAAACTATATACCCATTCTAAAGGGATAATATAAAAGACTGAATCAAACACCAACTTTCCCTTAAGGCTTCTGGGATTTAGACTCCTACTTTGATTAAGACCTAGTCTTCAGTAACAACTTCCACCAACAACTACAATCCAACAAAATACTTGTAAAATGGAAATTCTATCAGCATCTTCTATCCGAACAAGGTAGGACTTGCTAAGCACGCCACGATCACGAGAAACATGCATGGCAATACCAACCCGGTGTGTTGGTTTGGTTGTTGTCCAAGCAATGCCTGATGACGAGGAAGCATGGTTTATTGTTCGTCGTAATCGTAGATCATAATGGGGTGTTGTTACACATGTCTATGTAACTATTTTTACCAATTGTTACAAGAAACTTGTCACAAGATTTTAAAACATATAGTATTAATTCTCCTCAAGCCAAGGAACACATTTACATTTCATACATGAAGTTGTTTGTTTCTTGGGCATTTTTGATGTGTTACAGTTGCTTCCCATTCTACCGATCTACCACACAGGTTTGGTTTGCGTGGTAGGATGTACGCACACGTTTTCTCTACCCAAAGGGTAGAGAGACCGTTTGATGAAGACCCCAGATTGTAAACAAAGAAAAAGGAAATAAGAGAGCAATCTACAGGTAAGAGTGTTATGAATAAAATGTCAATAAATGTTGTCTTTATTGTATGCTAATTACTCAAAGATACAATTGCCAAATGTTATGATTACAATTTAACCTACCCGTTATCGCCCTTCGGTCACGGATGTAGTGATTGCATTTACAGACCACATGTTTTTGAAGTCATGTCCAATGCTGGTTCCCCTCTGTAAAATAAATAATGGTTCTTTTGGCTCTGGAAGATCAGCATCACTGCATAGCATAGAAACTGCTTCTGCCATCGTTGGCCTGTCCTTAGCCAGATCCTGAACACAAAGAAGTCCCATGTGTATGCACCTCAAACCCTGTGATAGAAATGGAGACTCAACCAATGCTTGATCCATCAATTCTATTCCTCTGCGTTCCTTCCATGACTTCCATGCCTGAAATTTTGTATGCCTTCTTTTGTATTAGACCATCAAAAGCGTGCATGTAAATGGGATGAAATTATCTGGTATGGGTTTCTGAGTCGAATTTTTGTACTTACGTGTCCAAGAGGATGTTCATGATGTAGAAATTCCGTATTTCTTTTGCCACTGATAATCTCTAACAGCATTACTCCGTAACTAAATACATCTGATTTCTCTGAGATTACTCCTCTCATGGCATATTCAGGAGACATATAGCCACTGCATTTCATCATAAGAACTTATAGTCAAAATATTGTCAAGAACAATAACAATATGATAGGTTCCTAGCATAAGTTCACATTTCGACGTCACTTCCATTTCGACTAGGATTAATACATCTTTAGTGGATTAAAAAGATGATAGATAGTAAAAAAACTCTACAGAGGAAATAAACAATTCTCACTATGTTCCAACAATCCGGCGAGTATTCGCCAACTCTTGTGTCATTTGAAAAGTCCGTGCCAATCCAAAGTCTGATATCTTGGGATTCATTTTCTCATCTAGTAGAATATTGCTACACTTCAAATCTCTGTGTATAATCCTTAAACAAGAATCTCGATGGAGATAAATAAGCCCACGACCAATGCCCTGAATAATGTTGAAACGAGTTTCCCAATCAAGTTGCTTTCGTTTCTTTGGATCTGGGAATCAAGAAGCTAAAAGTGTTAGAAAGGTCAATTGTCAGAAACTAAATGATCTATATCCCAAAAGTAGTACAAATGATCCTTATGTTAGATAGCTTTTATTTATCAGCAAATGACCTCTAAACTGCTGAATAAGGCATGCGAATGTCATTGCTACGATAACAGAAATATTCATTACAGTTCTTGTTAGAATAAGTGGAGGTTTCAACATATATACAGGAGAAATGATCCAAGTCTAGCCGATGTAGGACTCCAACAGTTCTAAACTTTAAGCAGCCCGTAAGCATTCTTTGGCTAGAGAATCTATTTCAGACAACAGTACAAGTTAATTTCAGTTACTATTACTTATCATCAATATGCTTTCAAACTATAACTGAACCGAATATGTTGACAAATTACAAGAGAAAGAAGTCGAGCCAAAACTTACCAAAGAGAAAAGTGTCCAAACTTTTGTTGGTCATGTACTCATAAACCAATAATCTCTCTTCCCCTTCAATGCAACAACCTAAAAGCTTAACAAGATTCCTATGTTGGAGCTTGGAAATCAACATGATTTCATTCTTAAACTCTTCAATTCCTTGCCCAGAGTCCCCTGACAGCCTTTTCACTGCTATTTGCTGTCCATGATCTAGCGTTCCCTATTTTAGTTTAATGTGTTACGTATTTAGTGTTGGCTCCATTTTGATGGATTCGAATAGTCATAACCGAAACAAGTTTGTGAATACAAGTGCATTAGTACCTTATAAACTGCACCAAACCCTCCTTCACCAAGTTTGTTTCTGTAGCTGAAGTTGTCAGTGGAAGCTATTATTTGCTTGAACTCATATATTGGCAATTCTATAGACTCCTTTCTAAGAACCTCTTCTTGTAGTGTCTCCCTCGGAACAATTGCGTTCTCCGATCTCAAGAGATTTAACTTGGTTTTCCTTCCTACATATGGATCATTTATCCATGTCAAGGTATATATATACACATATATATAAGGTGGTAATCATTTGAGAACCTGGTTATCTGTGAGAACTGTGTGATCCAAGCACGTATGTGGGTTCAATGTTACCATGTCTTGGTTTCATGTTTGAAACAGAAAAGCACAAAGATCGGGGTTCAATAAGTATTCACAATATGAATTTCCATGTCTGGACTTTCATGTTTGAAATAGGAAACACATTGGTTTTGGTTCAGTAAATAATCACAGTGTGAATTACCATGTATGGGTTCAACATGTATGGTTGTGAATGAATCTCACAGTTCTCACAAAATACATAGTTTTCCCATTAGTCCCCTCTTTATATACACATATAGGGTCAGGTTCAGGGAAAACTGCAAAAAAAAAATGAAAAACTGAGGAACACCTTAGTAACCATTCATCCTTATGGTATGCACATGTACATACAAGTAATTTGTAAGCAATTTGTCCGGTATTACACATGTGCATAACATGCACACGTGCATAGAAACCAAGAAACAACTTCAATTACTTGTATGCACATATGCATATCATAAAGATGAATGGTTACCGGGGTGTTCCTCAACCTTGAACGTCACTCTTCCTCTCTCTCTATATATAAGATATATTTTCTTGCCTTTCTTATATGTTGTCCACTTGTACGCAAGAAACATGAAGCCACCTAAGAGGAGTACACCACCTATGGTTGTGAAACTGATGAGAAGTTTTGCTCCTTTTGTTTCTTCTCCTATAAAACTGTGTCAGGATAAACCGAACCAAACCAAACCAAACGAACCCAGTTTACACCTTAACAAGAATCCTTAGTTTACCTGATTCCACATAAGAAAGACGCAAGTAAAGATCCTCCCCGCCATCTGAAAACTGCTCGATATCCATGAGGTCTTTTGTCCAAATCATACATAGAATGCCTTCCACATACGCGTATGCCTTACAAGAGCAGTTGCCCAGGCATAAGCGCTTGCATTCATCGGTATCGGTGTATGGAAAATACTGATGATGATCTGGGAGCTTGATCCCTCTTAACATCTTGAACGTATCCGGTTTAGTCTTTCCCGAAGCTAAACTGCTTGCATTCTTCTCACACAAAAGTTCACTTCGCCTCACACAACCTCGTGTCCAATTGCTTTTGCTCCATTCATCATTCGACTGTGGCACAAACCCTCTCAAACAGTCACAAGTCGGAAACTTGCTCGTACAAATCGCAAAAGCACCACAAACTCCATAAACATCACAACGATTCTCCGGTGCTCTCCACGTAAAATCCCACGTGTTAAGATCATCATCCCAATAATTCAAATGCAACACACCATCGGGTCGTAAATAAAGCCAGTGGATGTCATACGAGTTATACTTATTGATCGCGAGATACGCTCCTCCTTGCGGGTTCTCAGGCATGAGACTTATATGACTTGAGTACCCCGACTCCTGCTCCGGTATACCTATAAATTTCCCACCATCCCACGGCCCACTTCTCCAGTACGGCTTCGAACCGCGCCAGATAAAAGCTTGTGGCGGCTGCTCTTCCGAAAGCCCCGCTACGAAATCTCCAACGGTTGGATCATCGTCACTTTTCCATGATGTCAATACATGTTTCCCTTGTGTTTCCCCTCTCGCTCCAAGCCTCATTCCCGGTAATAAACTGTTACTCGGATTATCAAAACTCTCCCACAATATCGATCCCGAGACGGTATCATTAAGCGCAAAATCTCCCGTGTCTGTAAGCTTTGCAATTGTTTCATTGAACTGGACTCTTACATTTGTCGACCAGATAACATTACTCTCCCCATCTTCGATCCTCAAGTTCCCATCGTCACCAATCGTTAGGCTAGAACCAGTGTCGGAAACCGAGAGCGGGTTTTCTCTGTTTGCCACCCATATAACTCTCCGTGCCGGAACGTCTTTGTACCAAATACCAAGATATCGCGTAGTCGAGTTACCGGGATTGAAGAATCCGAGCTCGAAAACTTGATTGGTAGAGATGAGAGTTTGTTGTAAGGAGATCTTACCATCTTTGGTCAATATGTCTGTTGACTTGCAGTGTCTTAATGAATTAAGCAGGATATATAAGCATGCCATGCCAATAGACACAGCCATATTCATACCCATTGGTGAGAGTCTTTCTGCAGATTTTAAGTCATTAGCTTCACATTCTATGGATCTCTTAGCTTCTTTGCATGATGTTCAAGTTTCAATCTATGACCAAGTCTTCCTTTTGTAGTATTTAATATTTTAAAAAAGAGTTCCATTTTGGTACCTAAGATGTAAAGTTTTAAACATCTAAGTACCCGGATAACCGGTTGAAGCATTAACCGGTTATCATGTTGATGTAACAAGTGATATGGTATCCAACTCAGGGGCTGTTTACTTGCAACTTAATTAGGCTTATTGGTCTATCTGGCTTATTAGCACAAATCAGTATTATTTGCTGAGGTGGTTATTAACATGAATTTTTTTAATCTAAAATTAGTCTTCAACCAGTTATCCGAGTACTTAAATGTTTAAAAACTTTACATCTTAAGTACCAAAAGAGTAATTTTATAAATACGTTATCCAAAACAAAAATCAAGTTAAAATACGTTATTTTTACATGTAATTTGTTCTAAACTGTATATCTTATGTTGAGTGCTCCTTTCTTAACATGATGATATAGGCTTTGACTTTTGTAAGCAATTTCGGGGTACCGACAAGTAGTGATATCATCTCGTTTTTTTTTAAAGAAACCCTCCCACGACTAACACTTTGATAGCTATGGTTTCTCTACTTTAATTTCTACCATAATATATAAAAATGATTATTACAATTTATTATTATATATATATATATATATATATATATATATGTCAATATCACATTAGTCAACATGATGAAAGTATAAGCATGTAAGGGCATATTAGGAAATTGAAAGATTGATTCAGGGACGGACCCATTATACTGCATACAGTAGTATAGGTTACTGTTTCGTTCTTCTGTCATGTAAAAAGATTCGGGTTGTGAAAGGTGTCATCGTATTATTTTTGTTTGAGGGTACTCGCATATTTCTTGAAACTATAATAATAACACGGGTTTCTCTTGATAGAGTTGGTTTGCATGGTCTTTTCTTTGATTCTGAGTGCGGGTTTGAATCTCATTTGCATCATTTTCTTAGTTTGTAGTTTTAATATTAGGTTTATTATATTTATTTAAAATGGGATAAAAGACGGACCTCATACAAAAAGTAAGGATAATTAACAGAGCAAAGATGATTTTGTAAAAAAATATTCATAACTTCATCTTTTATAATCAAATGGTGTCATCACTTAAAAAAATTCTAAGTACGTGGCTTGATTAATCACAACATTGGAATTAGGGATGACAAAGTTTCTTACAAAGTTTTCGTTGACCAAAAAGTGGCTCAACTCCCTTGAAATTAGGGATGGCAAAAAAACCCCGCATCCGACGGGAAACCCGATGCCGACTCTGGTTTGACCAAGGAATCGCAAATTGATCGGGATGGAGAATTGCCGAATTTATATTCTGGAGATGAGGATACCCTTCATTCCCGACCCTGTGTACTAATTAAAAAAAAATTCTATGTGTGTGTGTATATACATGTATAGGGTCAGGTTTAGGAAAAACTGCAAGAAAATGAAAAACTAGTAATATTTTGGTAACCATTCATCTGAACGGTATATACACGTGCATACAAGTAATTTCTAAGCAATTTGTCCGATATACACATGTGCATAACATGCACACATGCATAAAAACCAAAAAACAACTTCAATAACTTGTATATACCGTTCAGGTGAATGACTATCAGAGTGTCCCTCAGTTTTTTATTTTTTGTCGGTTTTTTGTTAAACCCCTCTCTCTCTCTCTCTCTATATATATATATATAGGGTATATTTCAAATACAACCATGTCCATTTGTACAACCAATGCAACCCAATTAATTGAGATATTTATAGAAACGATGGGAGTTCATTTATTATGATTTGAATATTTATGAAAGATGAATAGGGTTCATTAATTATGATCAATACTTTATATTAGGAAACAATCAAAACTTCTATGAAATCGCATATTCATCAAATTAAATGGACGGTTGAGATTAGGTTGTATTGGTTGTACAAATGTAAAGGGTTGTATAATAACTCATCTCTCTCTCTCTCTCTATATATATATATATATGTATGTATATGGGCATTCTTTTGAGAATTCAAAAAATTGTGATAACCTTGAAAACTTATGCATCATGTGTTTTTTATATGATATTTTTTCCATTTAAGACTAGGATTTGAAATATTGATTAACATATATTTGTTTCGCAATGTGTTTCTATATATAATGCATAAATATAATCAATCTTACATGATGAAAACTTGTAAAAATAATTACATTATTGATTTGGTTGTTCATGGGAAACTTTTGTTGATATAACGACGTGATTATATAAAACTTCAATTATTAAGTATTGTAAGTGATATATCTGTGTTTGAACTACGTTGTTTATAATGTTATTCTTATCTAACTCAATATTATTTGCTGAAGTATTAATCGGATACCACATCACTCACCACAACAACATGGTAACCGGGTACTTAAATGTTTAAGATTTTACATCTTAGGTACCAAAATGGAAGTTGTGAAAGTACGTTACCCAAAATATGAATCAAGTTAAAGTACGTTACTTTTTCATGCAATTTGTCCTATACATAGTATATAAAAACGTTACGTAAAAAATTAAATTGTATAGACGGAAAAAAATCCCTGATCTCTGATACCCGATCCGTTTACATCTCTATTTTGAAATTCTAATTGGGAGCTTAATCAAGGGTTTGAATAAGTAATCGTTTCTAATAAGACTTAAACAAATAGAATAAGGTTGCTTTTAGTTATGCAACTTCTAGATCTCTTATTCAATAAGTCATACTTATTTGCTATTAAAATATGTCTTATTGACCCTCTCCTTGCTAAACAATATTTAATTTTAAGATCAGATATTTATCAAACGTTTATCCAGTAAGTCTTTATCGGGTTTTACTTACTTTATTGGGTGAATATGATAAGAACCGAAAATCTTGCCCGGTAAGTGAGGAAGAAGACTCTTACCCGGTTACGCTTATCAGGTAAGATGTATATGCATACCAACAATTCATTTTGATGGTCGAGAATGTTACCCGATAAAGTAAGTAAGGTGGTGACTACGAGCTTACTGACGATCCATTTGGTGATTATGTTCTCCGTGGCTTCGTTTCTACGCCACCCACAAATTGGATCCCGAATCCCTTCCATGCGTCTTCATTGGTAACTCGAAGTGCCTACTATCGTATCGACCCTCTCACTCACTACGTATAAACATCTTGTCGTGTTCATTGAAACTGAATTAGTTTTTCAAACAAAGAGTTATAAAGTTGTAGTAACAAATTGTAAACTTGAATTTTAAAATATGGCAAATTATATGAAAAAGTAACATACTTTAACTTGATTCCTATTTTAGGTAACATACTTTCATAACTTTCATTTTGGTATCTAAGATATAAACTTTTTAAGCATTTAAGTATCGGGTAACCGGTTGAAAACTAATTTTAGATTAAAAAATTCATTTAATTGACCACGTCAGCAAATAATACTAAGTTGGTTACCACATTACTCGCCACATCAGCATGATAACAGGTTAATGCTTCAATCGGTTACCCAACTACTTAAATGTTTAAAAATTTACATTTTACTACCAAAATGTTAGTTCTGAAAGTACGTTACCTAAAATATGAATCAAGTTAAAGAACGTTATTTTTTCATGCAATTTGCCCATTTAAATTATTATGCATAATAAGCAATATTTAATGCTTAATAAGTTATTTTAAATAGTTTTTACCAAATGCTTTATGGTATAAGACCCAAGATCAAATAGAAACATGTGAAACTGGATTCATAGATGAAATAACATATTTGAAAATGAAAACTAAACCCGTGTAAATCAACCAAAACCATCCACTAAGTTGGATTTTAGACTACGATTCATATTGTTTTACATGTTTCGTTCTTGTGTACAGACATGAATGCGTGTTTCATGTATAAATGTATTTTTGTGGTTTTTTCACACTCAAAACATTACGGGACGTTTTATCTACGTATGAACATCGAATGTTTCACATGATACAGACCAATTCTTATGGTCTTGTAACCTTTAAAAGGTTTCTATATAATCCGTCCCATACAGTATAAATGATTTGGGATCATGTGATACCAGACTGTTTTGTGAGACCCATGAGACCATATAAACAACACTGAACCTTCACAGTGTTTTTATAGTGAATATTCGGTGTTTTTCGTACCTTCATAATGTTTTGTTATGAAGTTTCGATGTTGTTTTGTGGTCTCACGGGTCTAACGAAAACAAGCTGATCTAATGGCATTATATGGATGACAAGATGTAGACCACCATATCAATAAAAACAAACCATTTCATTATATAATGAGGCTTCAAACACATAAACAACAGTTTTCAAACACTAAACCTTTAAACACCAAAGCGGCGGCGGCGGCGGCGGCCCGTTTACAACTAGAAACCAACCTCTTCATTCATTCATAATCCCCGAAACGAAGAAAAAAAACCCAACATTAAAACACTTCCTTCTGTCCGCTCGTCTGTTCTTCTCGATATATATCACGCCATTCAAACTTCCACATCTTCAAGAAGCCTTTTCCGGATCTGCTTTATCTTCCAACACAAACCCATTAGCATCTCCAGATGTATATGCTTTTAGAATTGGGTATGTATTACACTCTTTAATGAACTAAATGACAATTTTACCCTTAACAACATAAATTAAGGATAAAATTGGAAAGTAGACACGTAGGAGTCAGTTACCAAATGCTTACACGAGGTAAGCGTTTACCGGGTGTCACTTACGTTACTTGTGAGCATGGCAAGGATGAAGAATCTTACCCGGTAAGAGGCGGTCTCCCAACTTTTTGTTCCACCTATTTTGGTGGGAATTTAGTCATGTTATGTCTCAGTATTAGGTGTTGTTTGTTTTTTAAGAGGTGTTGAAGTCTGAAGTCTTATTTCACTTTTGATTGATAAGAGAACGTGATATAATAAGTTTTTGTCCAATCCTGTCATGTCCTATCTCGCATACCAAACACACCCAAGGAGACCAATTTAAAGGATGCAACATTCTCACAAATAAGCCTTGACCATAACTTTGACCACCTAAAACCTTCCACAATTCTTTCACCTGTTTACCTCACTCTCGTTCGTCCAGTCCTGTCCAAGTCATGTTCCATCAGTGTACCTAACCCACCCATACCTAACCTATATCAATCACACTCCAAGATTCTCAAAGTATACCTTTATCTTGTATTAATAAACAATATTCACTCTTCTTCTTTACAAATTACAATCTTCAGATTTGCAGGTTAAAATGTTCACTTAAGGGTCGTTTACCAAACACAACCAACAAGAGTCTCTCCCTCACGTGCCTTATCGGGTAATATTTTCGGCCATCAAGATGGATTGGTGGTAAGAGTCTTTTCACTCACTTAAAGGGTAAGATTATCGGTGTTTGTCATGCTCATCAGGTAAGGTAAGTGACAGTTCGGTAAACGGCCCTTATTATCATTCCTCTTAACTTCAACTCTCCAAGTAACACATCCTGCAAAAGCTCAAAGGTATCTATCCTTATTCTCTCAAACAATATTAGCTTTAAACTGTGGCTTTCATATGCTTAATTCATTATGAATAAACATCTAAATATATGAAACAAAGCACATGTATTTAAAGAATGCGTCAATTAAGGCATCTTCTAGTTTATTGTAGTGGGCATGTAAACAGTTGAGATGCAGTGCAAATCCTGACACTTAATCGAGCTTAACAATTTCCCTTCAGTGTAGCTTAGTTAGCAAAAAGGACACAACGACTTTGCTTAAATATACAGCAGGTAAAAGTTCGAATAATGCTATTGGTATATATACCAGTGTTGGGCTCTCTCCTGCGGGTGCATCCATAGAGAAACTATGTGTCTTGGTGTAAAGATTCTTAGGCCATGTTTCTTACTTGCACAATGCATTTAACGGGCTCATAACTGTTTAGTATTGGCTTAATGATATAGAAAGTGGCTTATTCAGTAAACTTTTCGGGGGAGCTTTATGCAGAAAGCCAAAGATTTTCCAAACCTGGTCCTCCCAGTTAAAGAACATGCTCTTTCCATCTATGAAACAACCCTTGCAAAAAAATCTTCCTAAGCAATACAAATAAATTAATCTACACAGACAGCCTTATTCATACGGGACTTCATGGAAAACCAACCAAATGCCCCAGAGTGTCATCTTGGTTCAAATCTAGGATTGTTTTAAGACTATATTCACCTTTATCTTCTTCTGCAAAACAATCTGCAATTCTTTGATTAATTGTATATCGATCACCGAGTTGAAAACGTTTGAATATACATTTGTATTTACCCCGCTTCTACAAACCTTTCTGTTCGATCAATGTCATCCCTTTGGGACCAACAAGTGGAGAATGAGTGGAACCCCTCCGCTGGTCTCAGCCGCTTAATCAGCTCTAAAATGCGGTTCCGGGGTGTTGTGTCGGGTGGCAGATTCCATGTGGGGCCGGTCGGGATAGCCGGTAATAACATTTACTCAAATTGAGCTTAAAATTCAATAAGTTCGATCTAATAATAGAACCAAAGGCAGGTAAAACCCTAGATTCAGAAGAAACCCTAACCTGTTTGCTTGTCGGATGCATCATGAAACTCCGGTTCCTCCTCCGGCACTGGATGCAGCTCGCTGCCGCCGTTCTTATCACTCAGCCGAAGCGGCGATCCGACTCGGATTCCTCCATCCTTATCGTCCGGAAACCTCACAACCACCACAGGACACACACAGTGATGCACACAGTAATCGCTCACACTCCCAAGCCTCTGCCCTTTCGTCGTCCTTCTAGAAGCACCAAACCCTCGGCTCCCCATTATTACAGCACTCAACCCTAACCTTTCAACCTCTAAACACAATCGTTCCTTCATATCATGATCTTTCACGATGTGGATCTTGAAATTGATCTGAGAATCGACTAACGGCTTCGCCAGATCGTTCGCTTTGGTTGTTGTAAACGCATCGAAATCGTCTTCCAGCTTTTGCTGCGATTCTTCATCGGTGGCGGAATCGGCATCGGCATCGGAGGCTTCGACGACGCCCCAATCTGCGCCGTACAGGACGGAGGTAGGACGGACGTGGAGGAGTATCACGGCGTCTCCAGGGCGGAGGTAATTCTGAACGGCCCAATTCACGGCGTATGCACTCTCGTCACTTAGATCGACGGCTATCGCGACTTTTCGTTGAGTTCCGGCGGTTAAAGTGCCGGATTTTGGAAACCGAGGGGATGCTGGTTGGACGATGATCGCCGGCGGCGGCTTTTCAGGTGACGCCATGAACCAGTTATTTGAAAAGCTGAAATTGAAATATGTACAGGGGTAATTTATGTAATATTGTGATAGTTGAGGGGAGCAGAGTGCAAGTTTCTTTCAGTCTCCGGTGCTGCTATGGAGGTTGTTTTGAGAGTGTAGAAGCTTGAAGAAGAAAGAGGAGCAATGATTCCCTGTGGACGGTGCTGGATAAGCTTATGGTAGGCGTCAGTCTACAATTGGCCCAACTTCTTTTGATTTTCGTCAAATAAATATTTCAAATCAAAACAAATAATAATAATAATAAAACAAAATTCTAAGGTGGAATTTGGTTTGTAAGAATATTTTTGGATGAAATAGAATATGTTAAAAGGATTTGACTTCGAAAGAATTGAAATGGAATATTGTTAGATTTGATCAGTTGTTAGAGTTGATCACTTGTTTGGTTAGCAGACATTGAAATGGAATCTGTTAAGTAATTTGAATCTGTCTGTTTGGTTCACAGAATGTAGTTTTAGAATTAGAATGAAATATTAGTAAATGACCAAAACGCTCTTTTTAGAAAATTTTAATTTTTTGGAAAAAAAAAATTTAATTAAAAATACTTTAATAAAATAATTATTTAATATGTAAAACAATATAAAATACACAACTCAAATATAACCATAAACCAAACAACGTTATTAAATCAACGGTGGTCGGCGGTGGTTCAAATCGATGGTTGTCCGTTGTCATTCAGATGGCGATGGTCAGCAATGGTTCAGATCGATGGTGGTCCGCGATGATTCAAATGATGGTTCAGATTGGTTGTTGTTCAAATCAGCATGATTCAGATCGGACCGGTGGTCGGCGTGGTTCAGATCGATGGTGATTTGTGGTGCTTCAGGCGGCGATCATCGAATGTGGTTCAGATTGGTGATTCAGATCAGTAGTAGTCGACGATGGTTCAGATCTATGGTGGTCCGTGGTGGTTTCAGATCGGTGGTGGTCGACAGTGGTTCAAATCGGTGGTGGTCCATGATGGTTCAAATGACGATGATCTACTGTGGTTCAGATCAACGGTGGATCAAATCGATGGTGGTTCAGATCGATAGTGATCGACGGTGGTTCAGATTGGTGATAGTCGATGGTGGTGGTCGTTGGTGGTTCAGATGTTGATGGTCAACGATCGTTCAGATGGCAGTGGTCGATGGTGATTCAGATCGACGGTGGTCGAAGGTGGTTGACAATAGTCATATTGGGTTTTATGAGATTATAATATATTGGGTTATGTGCATATTTCGTATTATGAAAATAGAGAATTTCACTCAATCAAAATACCATGTAGTTGCTAAGGAATGTTAAATTCTTTTATTTGTGGAATTTATAGGATTTTGAAGATTCATTTCATGAAAAATAATGAACCAAACGATGGAATGAAATTTGGTCAATGAAATTTAACATTTCAATTCCATTAGATTCATTCAAAATCTGCAAACCAAACGCCCCCTAAGTGTTTGTTTGTTAAAAATTATTGGTATACATGACTGTTTGGCAACGACTTATTGATATAAAAAGTGAATTGTTCAGTAAGATTTTAGGAGGAAGCTTTATGCAGAAAGCAAGTTTTTTCAAACTTGTATCTCCCAATTAAAAAAAGGAGTTTCTTTTATCAATAAAAAAACTCTTCTAAACAAAAAAAAAATCTCAATTAATACAGACAGATTAAACCATAAAGACAACTTTATCCATATAAGACTCAAAGGAAAACCAACCAGACAGCTTTCAATCTAATTTATCTAAAATTTAATATAATAAATCTAGTTAATATTTAATCAAGTGATTTTTCGGAGCAAAACTTCATCTGCAGACCTTTTATTTCTGATGTACAAAGCAGATCTTACTACTGAATCTAGAAAAGAATTCAGAAAAATCGTATTTCGCAAGTCCTTCGGCTCACTACGCCTTTTTTTATGTCCCAATCAGAGTTGTGAGTCATTTTTGGTCACCGATAAGTAATGATAACGTTGCTGGTGGCCTTGGCTTCTTTTGTTGTTTTTGTTCCTTTGTCTGATTTAATTCCGATTCGTTTTGTTTCGTGTTAACTTGTTTCAAAGCAGCTTTGCTGCTTGCAGAAGCACAAAGCGTTTTTCTGTACGTTTCTTTGGCTTTTAATAAATTATCTGTCTTTTCAGAAAAAAAAATGTAACAATGAAAGAGATGAACATGTTTTTTTTAAAATCACGAGTCATAATAGGATTAAATATCGAAATAAAAACATTCGTAAAAAATATTTAAAAAAACTATAAATCATCTGTGTGCGTCTAAAACGTCTAAAATTGCATTGGTGAGTTATGAAACCCAAAATCTTGTAATTCGTGACGCTAAAATATCGTAAAAAATGCATTGAAAAGTCTATCAGGAAAATGGAAGAAATCGGAAGTTGTCTCGATAAGCATGTCGTTCCGAATCTGAAAGAACTGTTTCTTACAAAGAGTGTTATGAAGAATTTAACGCCAAATTAAGTCGGAGCCAACACGTAAAATTACTGGTATTCGTACAAATTTTTGAGCAAAAATAAGGTTGAGTACCGACAACTCCAACCAGTCTCGCATGACACCCTACCCCCAAGGAATTAAAGGAGAGTTTAGCATGATTGTTGGAGCAATCTTTTTTTAAATGTCTAAAATATCCAAAATAACATAGCGGTTAAAGATGCTCTTAAAAGGTGTCTCGGCCATTTCAGTGGTTTTTTTCCAAAAGAAATAAAGCATTTACCAAATATGTTTAGAACATTTACAACTCATACCAGTATTTAACTGGAAAAAGCGCACTACAAGAAAGAAAAGATTTGAGCACTGAGACGCATGGAAGTTGCAGTGTAGATCAAGACAATGTTTTGTATGATCACATTCTGTTGAGTTTTTAATGTGTTTGAAGGTAAAAATGGACGTCGTTTTTAGATTTATTTTCTGCTGCAATGCAAGAATTTGATATTGGGATAATTTTACTCTGTATTAAAATATAAGAAGTACTGAAACGTGACAAATGATAATAAAACAGTAATAAATGAACTGGGTTTTATAAACCGATAATTGAGTATAGAAGTCATGAGGTGAATCGAAGCCAATTATATGTTATTCCATTGCTCAAAACATCATACATGATGGATGATCAGAGTAGAGCTGTTCACGAGTAGGATGACCCGTTAGACCTTCTGTTCAGTCTGCTAGAAAATCAGGTTTAAACTACCATTCTTGAAGAAATGGGTAGATCTGAACTGAACTGACTTTTAAAATTAATGGACGGGCATGGACGCTACAAACAGAATATGGGTAGGCCCACCCAACACATTAATTTTTCTATAATTAATTAATTTTTTTAATTAAAATTGAAAAATCTCGATACTTACCAATTGACACTTAAGACCCGTTTATCAAACACTTATCCGGTAAGTGCTTAGCGGTAAAATTTAACACTATTGTGTACTTACCGGGTAAGATTTTAGTCCACCAAAACGACATAATATACAATAATTTACCTGGTAAACGTTTACCGTGGTAAGAGACGTCGCCCTCACTTACCGGGTAAGACTTTTGATCTTTGTCTCGCTCTTACCGGGTAAGATTCTTGGTCCTTACTATATTCATCCGGTGAGGTAATGTTACTTGGTAAGCGCTTACCCAGGTAAGCGTTTGGTAAACGGCCCCTTAACTATAACTCATGATAATAACACTCTTTAGAAGTCTAAAAACATAATTACCTTAATTTAAGATCAATTCCTTATTATCTCATTTGGTCATTTCATTTATCGATGTTCTATATTTTGCAAAGCAAAATTTTCATAAATTATGTACATTGTTATGTATCTACGTCTAACTTTAAGTTGGAAATATCATCGTGTATTTTAAATTATTTTACATAACTTGTTATTTTATATAAGTTTTATTTTCTTAAAATGTAAAAAGATTTTTAGACTCTTTAGCCCATGAACAAGCCCGGCCCATTTATAGGGCAGATAATGAAAAGTTTTGAAGCCCGCCAAAAAGAGTTTGGGATTTCTATATTAGGCTCGTTTGACAAGAAAAATAGGTTAAACCCAGTTCAAATTTACTAAATAAATTGGTCCTAAATATACTAGAAGGGTACTCGCACAATGCAGCGAGATACATCTCGATTTTTAGTGTTTCGCTTTTTTTTTGTCTTAGTCGATATTATAATATGGTTTTATATGTTTTTTTTTTGAGAAAACGATACTGTTTTTATTTTTGAATAAAATATAAATATGAAAATATTATATAAAAATATATTGATATTAGTATTAAACTAATATTTAAAATTCTCCTTTTTTGTGTATTTCTTTGATTCATTTTTTTATTTTTTATTTAATAATATATTTTTTTATAAAAATAATAATTAAGTATTTTGTTAGAATTATCATAGTTATATTTTAGTTTTTTATATTTAAAATGAAATGTTATCCTCTATTTGATTATTTTTATGTGAAGTTAGTTACACGAATTCAAAAATGAAGCTTTAATAAGTTGTATTTACACACAGTTTACTTGTAATCTTGAATTTTAAGTAATATGCATAAATAAACAATACTTAATGCATAAAAATGGTTTTTAAGAGTTTTTTTTTTTTTTTTTGTAAGGGTGTCCGGGCCAAAGCCCGACTAATCCCCGACAAATTTGGAGGCTAAACATGGCCCCACTTAAATGTCGCCAACACTCCCCTCCCAGGGCTCAAACTTGGGTTCATGACTATGCCATGCTCAAGCCTTTACCACTAAGCTAGAAGGCCTTTGACGGTTTTTAAGAGTTTTTGTCAAATGTTTTATAATATAGTATAGATAAAATTATGATAATAAACTCTTGTTTTCTGAATTTCACTTTGGAAAGAAATATGTATGTCAAAGTTTTAAGAGAAAACAAGAGGTATAAATGATACATAAGTAAGAAAAGTGACCAAATCGATTTGTAGAAATCGTATCTCATCGTATCCGTTCCATTCGTTCGTCCTCACTCATGTAACTTGGCTAGCAGTTGTAACTACGCCCCCGTGAGAGCCCTCTATTTGACTAACGTACTCCCCCCCCCCCCCGACCGGGATTTCTAAGATGAAAAGTGTTATGACTAATTTATTATGGGATTCCAGTGGTGTTAAAAGACCTCTGAC